CAAGATGAGTTTTTCCGGAACTTTGGTTTATGGCCTCCCACAAGAGAAAAGCCAGTAGACCCTTAAAAGAGGCTATTGCTATAAGTAGGTTCTGGGTTCCTCTGTGCACATCAAATATTCAACTTAATTCAATTCCAATTCCTTGTAAAAATAAAAAAGGCTGCATATGCCAGGAAGTCTGAGCAAATTCACTTAGACATGAGAGGTTGGATATGGCCATGTCATTCAATGCACATGCATGGAAATAGAGGGACACGGATTGAAGGAAGGCAGTAATGAAATGCATCAGCAATGGCACTGAGCACGGTAACCCAATAGCCCATATATCTAGAGACCCACTTTAAAATTCCAGGCCCAGTGAGTCACTTTGCTGTTTTTAGAGCTGTAGTTAGGGGCTCAGAATTTAGAGCTGCCGGTCAGTGTGTCAGGCTGTTAGACTATTTCGGCTCGTTGAGAGGTCAAGGCCACGCTCACCTCTATAGTTTTAAAAGAGCCACAGAAAGAACAAACGAGACATGGGTTGTAGGGAAAAAACAGGTTGTCATTAAAAGCCGGAGAAACTTGTACATGAACATGATAAAAGGGTTGTTCTGATATCAGCTAAGAACAAAAGTTATTAGTTTATAAGTTCAACTTTCCTCAAGAGTCTGGCCTGTCACTACAACTCTTTAACCAATTGAAATTCATATAAATAAGACATATATAGAAAAGTAATGCCAAACTGAGGAAATACACTGGAATACCTCCTATTATTTTTGTTTGTATTATGTATTAAGTTTGTACAACGATAGTCCAGCAATATGTTATAATGACAAATACCTTTCAGAACAGTATTTAGCAGTAAGAAAAGCATTTAAGAGTCTCTATTCTCTTAATAAGTTGATATTAGCTGTTGCGATTTAGTAGAAGGTGCTGGTTTATCTGGATTCAAATCTTAAGGAAGAAAAAGCAAATGGAATAGACCGCTGGAAGAGAAAACCGTTGCATGTTTGAAAGGTCAGACACAGGTAGTAAAGCTTTTCCTGGTGCTCATTGCTGAAACAGGTAGAAAACACCTTCAGCTAAAAATTGAAGCAGTTTAATCTTAACTAGGTTGACTATCTTTTGCTATGCATAATATTGTTGCTCACATCTCAGGACAGATGAAAAACTCCAGTGAAAACCCATCTACACATTATCTCTAAGGTCCTTTTCGACCAACTCCTGAAGAGTCAAAATCCGGGGAATCCTTCCCTGCAGTTTCCAAACCTCCCACATTCCACTCTTGATACTCTAATGACGGCCTACACTGCCATGGGGAAAACTGAAGATGGAAAAACTGTGAACCCTGCTGTGTCACCAACATTGTGAATTCCATTTCCGTGAAGTCTAACAGTATGGAAGTAGGCGTTAACCAGTTTTCTGAAAGGAAACCTGCTCATAGACGGATTGGTTTGGGCCTGAGTCACGTGAAATTTCAGGGACAGGGAGACTAGATTCATCTACAAATATTGTCTTGAATAAATTTGGATACTTTTCTCTGCTTTTGAATTGAGTAGCTAAGTCTTCTTACCTTCTGCTGAGAGGCCTTGTACATTCACTCCTCTGGCGTCAAGGAAACTGAGGCAGGCGTCCACATTCTCGATCTATTGGAAAGATGGCAGACGGTCAGCACAAGGGACAGACACAGCGGGAATGTGACAACACTCAACATTCAACAAGCCAAAATGTCTTGCGGCACAGGGTGCGGTGGAGGGGCCAGATCAGCATCATCATCCATAAAGCACATCATTGTGTGGCTATTACCCGACCCCCGCACGACCCTTGGACCCGACTGCATGACATACTGACCACAGTGTGTTACCACCTCCACAACCTCGCGCATATCACGTGCCCACATCGAAGTAGGGCACGCACCAATAAGTATACACAGTACCAGTCCAAAACCTTCAACCTTCATTTGAACGGGCACTTATTGGTGCCCATTTGAGGCGTTTCCGACTCCGTTCAGCTGCTGCTACTTTATAAACTGGTATCAGTTCCACAAAGGTCCTCTGAGGTTGCTCTTATTAGGGGGAATTCTGCCTTCCTTGACAGCAGCTCGCGGGCGGCTTCATTAGCATTGCGGCCGGCAGCCAACACCCCTTAGGAGGTCTTTTATGACAAGGTTAAAGGTCAGAGCGCTCTGTTTCAGCGCAGTGTGTCAGGGACGCAACATGGGGCAGACTGGGCAACTCAGCCAGACATCCAGTGGCAATGATGATTCATGAGCTGTAACTCCCACTCAGCTCACTGCTTCTCTTTTGAATGTTTCCTCGCTGGATTTTCTGTCTCTCTCTTTAATGACCAGAAAGACGTTTTGTAGAGGTACGGTAATGAGTCATATCGACACAAAGACACCACTGATTCTCTGACTGTATACTCTCGGGTGGCCTCACAATACGTTTCTTAGTAAAGAATTAGTCCTGTCTTAAGGTAGCCTGAGGTGTCGAGTATATAAGGAGTTAGCAATAGATCCATTAGGCTCTGTGGGTTTGGGTTTCTTTATGGCTTGGGCTTGTTCCCTACTGATACCATCAGATCTCATCAGATTGGTGTCTGGGGAGTTTGGAGGCAGAGTAAACACTTCAGACTCTCTGTTGTGTTTTTTTTTGTCTCCCCTAACTAGGTGTTGCTGCTCTCCTGCTTGAGTAGGCTCTAGCTGGTGTTGAGAGGTGTTGTTGCATGGCGGTTTGACAGATCCGCAAGAGTGTGGAGGTTAGAAAGATTAGGTAAAGTGGAGTAGTACTCACTTTACTTGTCAGTGGTTTTACTGTTGTGACTGGTTACTGTTTAAGCATGACATGACATGCAAAGGGATAGTCTAATATCTTAAATACAACCTGCCATGCTCGAGACACCTTTCAGTAGCAAATAATTATAGTTATCATGCAATATAAACTTGCTGTAGCTCATTTAGAAAAAAAATTGAACCAATTTATAGGAAATGACATTCACACTTTATAGGCGGGTCACATACTAAACTTTAAGTCTGATATACAACTTTAAGTCTCTTGTAAGAGACGTAAAGCTGTCTGGATCAACAAAGAGTCTCGGGCACACAAATTAACGGAGACCCTCTCCATCTGCCCGCCAAAACCACAACCTACCACTTCAAAACACCCCACACGTTTTGGTCTCACATCAGGCACCACATAACTTCATATGTGGGCCCCCATATTCTCTGCCCACATGCTGCACTCACAGACTCACATATGCATGCACTGGTGCTTACTTGTTTGATTATCCCACGCCTATCCTCAGAAGTTTGTGTGTGGAAAGACATGTGCTGAGCAGCATTTGTGAACGCTCATTTCTTCAGTCCTAATTAGACTAGGTATGAAGATAATGTTGGATGTGGTATTCACTTGCCAATATAAAAAGATTCCAACAGGGGATGTGTTGTTAAAAACGTTAGCTCGATAACAAGCATCTTTAGCTAAAGGGTTATAAGTAAATGTAACTTATTCACAAAAAATGCATAAAACGCCTTCAGTCTGCTCAAAAAGGGTTAAACCTATAAATACACAGTCAATCTCTGTAGTTGGAGACAGATCTCTTTAAATAATAATAAAAAAGATGATCAACTTCATTAAAAAGAGCCATGCCTTCTCTCTATGAGCTCATAAATGACACTTAAACCAGAAATTCGGAGGCTTTGAGACAAAACTACTGTTTGTTTTTTACTCTACGTTAGCTCTAAAATGACGTAAACAGGGGTAATAATGTTTGAAGGCGTTGATGAAAGCTGGAGCATTAATGCTCCACAGGGTTCTGGTGATGTTTTACTGCTAGTTTGGTGGGCGGTTTGGCTTTGTGGCGTCCTCTAACAGCTTTTAGTCGGGCCGGCATCGTTTATTTTTCCGACACAGGCTGGCATCAGACAGATCCATGCGAGTCATTAAAAGCAATTTAGAGAGAGAGCATTTTGATGAAGCACACTTCACCAAATCATAAAGTACTGACAGTATGATAAGGGAAGTGCATTTCGAGTAGTGACAGGGGGTGCATGTAAAACACAGGCTGACGGAAAGAAATGATAAAAAGCCTGGGGAAATAATGAAGGGGAGCTGTTAAATTTCTCTGATAATCAGTATCAATTTAGCTATGTTTAATTTACAGAGCCACACTACAAATCAAAATATCATGTTCCAACTAACAAGGGCAGCAAAATTACCAAGGCAGCCTGGCAAAGAGCCTTGAACCAAACCGTTTCGACAGATTTAGCTTTCTTCCACAGTTCTTTTATCAGATAAGCTACTGAATGCAAGGTTTAAAAAAAAAAAATCCCAGGAACAGTAGAACGAGTGTGAAATTTCAAGACGACTATGGTGGGTCCTGAAACATCTGGACCTCCAGCTGCTTCATCACCTGTTGGCCCAAGCATAATCAGAAATGCTCTCCATGGAAGGGTGGCAAGTAGCAATAAAGTAGGGAGAAATTACTGAGCTCTGCCAAAGACAAAAGAAGTGAACTGAAAATCAGTGGCATCAGGTCTGTTGGAGGGAAGAATCCTCTTCAGAGCCCGGAGCTCCACATTATTAAAGCTGTGTGGGATCATCTGACAGAGAATGGAACAAAAGGCAGCCAAAATCCAAGCAGAATTTTGGGATGTACTTCTAGAGGCTTGGAGGTCTATTCCTGAAGATTAGAATTGCTCAAAATGCTTTTACCTCACATTCTGAATAACAATTTGTGTTTGCACACATGGCATGTTATTTACCAGTTTTTATAGAAATGTATCAGGAAATGAATGGCAATCCAATACATTTGAACAGTAATCTCTTTAGAAAGAATTCTTAACTCATGTCTTATTAAGGCCAAGAAACTAAACAAGTTAAATTAAAGTACAATTCAGAGTCAATCAAATCAATACAAAAGCTTAACATCTATCAATAAATAGTGTCGAGATAAGCATTGAATTAGTATAATCTCACTAAAGTTGTAGGAGTCTTTGAATGTTTGGGTGATGAATAGTTGAGACATGTTATCTGTAACCGTGTGTATATAGTGGCCTAACTTCTGACTGCTGTAATAAGCTTTCATGCATATATCATTAAGAACAATTGTTTTCACCACAAAAGAAGCTAATGTAACCTCAACCAGAACACAGTCTGCCCCACAAACCGTCTTATCCTTATCAGTGTGGCTCATGCTGCATTCTGCACCTCACTCCACTTCAGGAAGATTTAGAGAGCTACAACATGAGATGCTAGCTGTGTCTTTCATGATTACAGAATCAAGTCATAAACACACTCCTTGTTAGGTTGTAAAAAGTGTGTTCTAGCCTGTTGCATCTCCCTGACAGTGACTGGCAGATGGATGATGGATGGATTTCAAAAGTGATATCCCTGAGATACAAATGCACCACTGCCTTTGACTGAGTTTACTGACCCGGGGTGTTGTCTTTCCAGTTTGCTTAATTTCTAACATCATCCTGAACTGTATACATCTAAGATTGATATGGCCAGAAGTGTCTGACAAAGCCCCTACTTACATTTATATAACTGTAAATGTTATTAAACTGTTTGCCATGATGACTTTTTAAGAAGTCTAAACCGTGATGATTGAGTTCAAGTAGCTGACACATCAGACAAAACAGGTTCCAACCAGGGTTTTTTTCAGTTTTTTTTTCAGTTTACAACATTAAGTTTACAACATGAAATAACTTGGAGGGTCTCCATGTGGCATCTGCTTCACAGGCAGCGTGTTTAGGCTGAGGGTGAGAGAAAAACAAAGAGGTTCCATGTGTGACGGAGACCAAGTAGTCACCTCATTAATTTGGTTTTGATCTCTTTAATGTCTTTCCATTGCTTTTGTCAGATCTCATCATCACTTCAGCTGATGATGGAAAAATTAAAAAAACATGTTAAATGACACCGTGCACTGTTTTGTATTTGGTTTGCTCCCCATTTCGACTGTTGACAAGTGGTATTAGATAGATAGATAGATAGATAGATAGATAGATAGATAGATAGATAGATAGATAGATAGATAGATAGATAGATAGATAGATAGATAGATAGATAGATAGAAATAAACTTGACTTTCCTAAAGAATGGGTTTAAGTCAATGCTTTTATCTACATATACAGATGGTGCTAAAGTACAATGTCACAACTTGTTTCCTCAATGCTGAACTGACAAAATCTCTTGTACAAGCTGTGAATAAGTGCTGCAAATAGAAAAAAAAACAGGTAGGTACTTTGGTTATCTTTAATGTGGTATATGAGGTGGTGAATGTCCCTCAAGATGCTGCATAAAGAGTAGAAAATGACAGTTAACGTGTCAACCTGTCAGCTCTTGGGAGTAAAATATAAATCTTAACCAAAGTCATGCCTACTTTTTCTCTAAAGCAAATCTTTTTACTCAGGCAGTAAAGCGTGAGACTGATACTCAGGGACAACATAAAGCTGTGACACATGCAATGTCATGCTTCTTTTGGTTCAGGAGGGCAGAAAAAGGAAGCTCTTGTATAATCCGCAGTGTCTTGCTCAGGGATAAGTTGTTAGCAAGTTCTGTGTCAAACTGATGGAGGGAAACGCAGTGGAAAAATAAAAGAACACTGGTAAGAAACAAGTCAAAGACACAAACCAAAACATAAGTTTATATAGTTTATATGTTTTCAACTGAGCCAGAAGCAAGAATGTAAAAAATGCCTGGCAAATCAATTCATTTATTATTTTGCTGACATGTTTGCTCATGTCTCATTCACAAATGTCCAGGACATTTTACGTAAAAAGGTGGGGGTCTTTAAAAGTTCTGTGCATCTACTGATGACATAATATCTATAGACGCATTGGTTATTGTTAAAATGTGTGGTTGTACAATAAAAGTGTTTACATGAAACACATTACACATGCAAATGATCTCTTCTAAATGACTCAAGATGCTCTGTTGTCATCTCAGCCTTTGGCAGAAAAGATATTTCTTACATATTCTTCCACATGGGCTGTCATGAGCCAAGTGATCTTTCATTTGAGATGGTGAACACCAGAAACGTTTAGACTTTTTGCAATCTAATCTAGGCATCTGCTTCTGCCCCATTCAGTAACACCATGCAATATTAATCCCCTGTCATGAAAAGGAAATCACGTATATTTCACATCATGAAGTCCCATTATTTATTTACAGGTGAATATAAGGAGCCCCTGACTCATGGCGGGTTGGTCATATGGCAGTCTGTGCTGATGCAATAAAATAAACAGGATTAAGGAAAACTGCCACACAGGTGCTGGTTTCTGCTTTTTGAGAGGAGTCTGGGCCAAGAACTCAAACTAGGACCACGATCAATTAGAACCCAAGATCACTGGCGAGCTGCATTGATGATGAACCATCAGGCCAGTGAAGATGAGTGGCTCATGCTGTTTTCCTCTCATCTGGCTGGGTAACAGATGGGGCCCAGACTCTGCCGGGTTTTTATGGTCGCCAAGAAACCCTTGATTCCACAAGGTCTAAAAAGCAGCACACCCATGGCAGGCTTGATTCTCACCAAAACCTTGCAGCATGTCTGTTACAGTGTGATAATTGGTGCACTGATAAGGTCTGCGCTGACATTAACTTTGCTGGAAAGATCCACTGCCCTGGGCTATACAAGATTCAGTGATGTAAATCGTAACAGTTTGAAAAGATGTAATTTTGTACACAAAAAAATCTTGTTTTATCAGAACTAAGAGGTAATTCTTTTCTAGACGCTTCTTCTGGCACTACAGTCAAGGAAAAACACTACATAATACTTATGTTATGACAAATATCTTTAACTTTAGTATTTATCTTCAGATTTCAGCATGTTACATTTCTAAACAAAACAAATAACCTCACACATGGTGAACATACTGTCACTTCGACTTCTTGTTAGACTGCTGACCTTAGCAATGAGCAAGAGGGACTATAAAAAAACTCAGCCTCACAGAGTAGCTTCCTCTATTTTACCTCTTAGTGAGGCTCCCAATTTTGATAAAACCAGAAAGATACACCTCATCTTAAATGGTATTTTTTCAGGTGCAAACATTTTTAATCAGATTGGTAGAAAACTGCCAGTATCTAATAAAAACAAACATAATTTCGAACAAACCACTAAAAGCAATGACTTCAGACCATGCGCCGCTGTCTGATTAGATGATAAAAGTATGTTCCTCCTCTCATTTGAGAAGTTATTTCTCTAAAACATTAAATTAGCTGTCAGTAGAAATACTGACAGCTGTACTTACAGTACAGTACAACTACTAAATATGTTGTTACAATACCATAGCTAATGTATGTTCAAAAGAACCAAAGAAACTACATACTGCAACATTGCTTATCTAATTCTAGTATATGACCCTTTATATTTCAGCACAATCAAAACCCATATGACTTTTTTTTCTCAACATGTATAGCTTTCTGCTGACAGATGTTACATTTGCACAAAATCATTCCCCTTTAATCATCCGGCTGTGTTTTCTGTCTCTTTCTGACATCTTTTTTCCTGACATTAAGGTTGCTAGAAGCGAAACAAGCACACATCCGCAGACTCAAACTGCTCAGTCATCTGCACTGCAAGGAAGTGCTCTGCGCTTTGCTAATGATGTCTGTCTATAATGAGCGGGATTAGCGTTGTGGGGCTTAACATTTTTCTGCTGAATGGGCCGTCCCTGCCTGCCAGTTCTGCGCTTCATTCAAAATATTGGATGTGCATCTGATCCCTCAAGATATCTGTACAGCTGTGAAATACTGCACTGTCATAGGGCAAGAGGATTGATCTTGAAAAGAGGTTGGAGTTTGTGCTGCAGGGTGGGAGAGATGCACAGAAACACAGTGTAGGATCCATAGAAATCATTTCTAGTTTTACATCACATGCTAACCAGCACACCACCGTGCCGCCCCGCTCCTGTGGACAAGATTTCTAAATGTTCTTGGCTTGAAGACGGGTAGAATATATTGCTACAGGCATCACTATTGTAAGCTGGGCTCCATCCATTGTTTGCTGAACAACAGCCTCAAGCTCCATGCCAGGGTAAAAATGTTAAGCTTAAAATGAAAACAATCCAATTGTAATCTACAATGTAGATGATCCATTGACCAAAAGAAAATGCAGAGGAAAATATACTTCTATTATTCTTTTTCTGCACATTAGCTTAATCCTCTACAACAATATTTTTTGCATAAAATGTTCAAAAATGGGCTCTGGATAAAAAAGGAAACAAGTTATTTGGGCAATAACCATATTCCAAATTCTTGTTCTAGCGGATAGGGACGAAGAGTGGCAAAAGTATCAAAGAACATCTTAAATACTATCCTTCATAAATTTAATTTCCTACTGGCATTCAAATGACCGTAGAGTCATAAAAGGCGTCGTTACATGGTACAAATATAGGTCTTTGTAATGAAGTGTGATAGTGAGGAGATCAAAGGTCAATCTCTGCCATATAGATGGGGGAAAACTTGAAAAGAGGTGTAAATTATTCATACTGCACTAGTCTTCAAGGTAATTTCCCATGAGCCCACTGGCCGGGGACAGGTAATAGCGATTAGCCCTGTAATTATGGGGACTAAGTACTTGGAAGCTTGTTGAAAGGACTTCTCTGCAGTGCTGGATGAGTAAGAAAGGTTAATAATTAGTGAACTGCAGACTGATTAAATGAGCAGATCCATAACAAATCAGACAAACTAAATTTATTCCATCGTCTTTACAGATTTAGGGAGAAGAAATATTCAAAACAAATTAAATAGTTAAGTCACTAAACACATAATATTCATCTTGTTTGGTTGGCAGAAAAATAAAACAACTTTTGGTGGATAAAACAACTTAGAAAAGTTAAGTTGTTTGCTCTCTATTTGTGTGCTGTATTTTGAACAAGGATTTGGAGAAAAAGAAGCCTTCTGTAAGTTGATAATTTGAGAAGCTGAAGCAGATGCTGATGCAGTGCTGGTTTGGGCTTCTCAGCTTCCAGCAGCTGCTCATCTGGCTCTGGTCCCTTTATTCTGGAGACCGGCAGTGACTACATGGCAAAGTCCACAATCATTGTTGACCAAAAAGAATTTTAATCTACGAGTGATGTCCTTCCTTTTCACAACTGGTTATAAGTTTTTATCAAATAACTGATTTCAGTTTTCAACATCATGGGATATGCAAACTAAGCAAAAGATCAATTAATCAATACATTTCGGTGGAAGAGTTCCTTCATATTTATTCCTCTCAGCTGGAATGTCATTCTTTGCATATGTGTGAGGCCCGTGTGAGGCCAAATACGCTGCTAGTGTTTCTAACCGTAGGCGAGTCGCATCGGGGTTCACCTATAAGTGAATTTAGGTCCACTTCAAAGTCTGGAGGGCTTTTCACACCAACCAAAACCAAGCAAAAACAAAGCTCTGGTCTGTTTAAAATAGATTGAACAGCTCTTGGGTTAGGGTTTAGTCAATAGCGCCATTAGTCAATAAAGAGCAGAAATCTGTACACACTCATCTTCTAGTTTCTTATGCACCAAGTGAGGCAAGAGCCCCCACATATCAGGGAGCAAATATCCCGAAAAGTCAGTACTTTGCCAGAAGAAGAATTCCATAAATATTCATATAGCAACATTTATATGCAAAGACATACTGCCCTTCTGAGCTGTCTCAGGAGAAGGGCTTAAGGACCATAAACCACAACCACCTCAAAGTTTAATGTCCTTCGGTAGAAGGATGCTTAAGATGAAAGTAGAACTAAAATGTACTAGGTGTCCTGTATAGCTGATGGGAAAACACGCAGCTGTTCACAATGCAGAACGCGTCGGCACATTGAGGAGCTGACATTTGGATTCTTTTTAAGAGAAAAAGGCAACCCTAAAAACACAAACGGCCATCTTCGCAGCACTGAGTTTATGATGGTGTGTCAGATGTTTCCTTCCCCCTCAGCCATTCTATAAGCAACCGTGCTTCCTCAAACTTCAATTATCCCAGGCCGGTCGAACCCTCTGTGGTCAGAGCAGGTGCTGGATCAATGGGCTTAGTAAGTGAATGAGACAAAGAGCAAACTGCTCACACACACACACACACACACACACACACACACAAACTTAGAGTGAAGACGCTGGCGTATCAGGCAACCTGCTCGCAGAAGCATTTCATGTGACAAGAAAAATAAACGTAGGAGAGCTTATTTTTCGAGAGCTGGTTTTGACACGCTGAACACAAGCACCGACATGAGGGGTGAGCAGGGTTCGTGTGACCTTAACATTTTCTTCCTTCCTGCCCCTTCGGTGCTATTTTTCTAACGGAGAGAGCACAGGCTGCTTCCACTACAGCTGGACCAACCGCGGAGGAAAGAATAAAACAGCTGAAACTGCTCTGAACGTGTGAAACCAGTCATAAAATACAGTTGTGGAGGAATGCTGTGAGCTGTTCCTGTTTTCTTTTTACGAAAATACTTTAAATAAAGTTAAAGAAATGTATCAGCCGGACTTGCTTGGAGTTAATCTGGTAATCAAAACAAGTAGGTAAAAATGTAGTTGATAAGAAAGAAAAACAAAGTGAATCATTGTAAAAACCAAACATTCTCGCCTTACAAACACAGAAAGCCAAAGCAGTTAAAGAGCTTTAGTCATTTTTAAATGGCAGGAGGGCCGATGCCAGGGCAAACCAACACTGCATAAACACTTAGTCAACTCTAGTTAAAGTGAAGGATAATTATCTCACAGTGACGACAATCAGTGGTTATGCAGGCCGTCATCTCATTAAAAGAAGGGGAAATTGACACCGCCAACATCGTTCAGCTGTGGGGTGGCCAACAATCTGGATTGTAAACGGCATAGCAATTCAGAGATGGCAATATTTGAACTTTTCACGACTCAGATGAGCTTTTGGTCAAGTAGAGATGTGGTTAAACCGGCCACCAGCATGGTTCTGAATAGCTCTGATCAGTAGCAGCTATGAGTACTTTCACTGAGAGTAAACACTTAAAGATGGAAAGATAAACATAAAAGTGATAAGCACTTGAACATGTTTTTTTTATATGTTAAAGGCTTCAGCTTGGACTAGGTTTTTATCCTGAATTTGTTGCCTCAAGGACCAGACCTTAGATAAGTGGAAGGCAATGGATGGATGGAAGGTCCCATGCGGGAAATTTTCTTGTAGATCACAAGCTAAAATGGTATGTCGACGATTACATTTTTTCCAAAGTTAACCCTCAACCAGTAACTCATCCTTGTGTGAGTAAATCCGTTTTTTATTTTATTTTATTAAGATCATTGAGAATTTGCGCAAATAAAATACATGATATTTGCTTTCTTGTATAGTGCTTTAAAGTGATCAGATTGTTTCAAAACTATATAGGTAGCTTATGTTTCCTCCCATGGAATGATGTGTATGGACAAATGTCTCCTTTTTCAACCATACAACGTAAGAAAAATAACTGAAAAAACATGGGGATTCACTGTATTAATATCATATTTGTTGATCAACTTCTCGTCAAAGTTACATAACTGATTAATAAACTTTAAATGACGGGTTTGTAAGTGTGCAGGCTCAGAGCATCATCTGCAGTAGATGATGGATAACGCAGCTATGTGGACAGTTGTCATAATAAACTAACTGCAATTCTATTCCATTCAGTAGCAACTACACGCATAACTCTGGTGCACACCAGTGGTTTAAAGGGTCAGATGAATGGAAATGTAAAATCCACTCACCATTTGTGACTGGCTCCTGGGGCTGCCATTGATAGCCTCCACCTTTTCATTTGCTGCGGGAGAGAGGAAATGAAAAAATGAGATCCCATTCTGAGCAGTGACATTGTAACCGTCCAGTGATGATTTCAGGCACACAACTCGGAGCGTGTGGTGTGGTGCACGTGTGCGTGTGCTGAGGTGTGGAGCGGGACAGGAGAAGTCTGGGAAGCAAAGCTGCCTAATTCATCAGCGGCCGCCAGAGAGTTACTGACAGGCCGGCGCGGCCTCATTGTCTGCCGGGGCCAGCAGGGAGGGTAAAGTTTCAATCCAGCAGAGAGGGAGCGAGAGAGAAAGGAAGCCAGACAGAGGCTGAGGAATAAGAGTTTTAGGAGCACAGACGGCAGCTAGAGAAGCAGCATCTGTAGAATCCAGGGAAATGTGCCCGTGTGTGAATCTGTGTGTCAGTATGATAAAAAAAACTGGGAGAAAAAGTCCTAGGAGGAGGGACAGAGGCTAAACACATATATGGAGAAGAAAAATCATATGGGACAGAAAAGAGTTTCAAAAGACACCCCACACCGATTTTGTTAGAGCCACTAACATAGTTACACATTATTTATTACTGTGTGTCTATCATTAAGTTCTAACTACCCATTAATGTTGATTCAAACAAAAGATCTCCATCTGAAAAATAAAAACCAGCACTATCATAAGTGGTTTTACTGTCTACCTGCTGTTGACATTATCTATGCTCCTGTTTAAATGGTGATTTCCTAGACAAGCTGCTCTGGTTGATGCTGGGGTAGTTGGTGCATCCCCTAACACAGCAGAGGGATAACGGTCAGTTTGCAGCAACTGCCCTAGAATTGAAAATGGACAGGATTCGGGCACCCCATTCAATGAAAACTGCTGTAAAGAGTATCTTGGGAATAAGAACGCTTTTTAAGTGTAATATCTTAAACTAGTCTGTAAAAGACTGAAAAGAGAAAGAGAAAAAAGTCACTCTGAACTATTGTGGAGATTCATTCCTTTGCATTCCTGGTGGTCAGAGTCAGAGATTTCTGCTATAGCTCGTCCAACTAGGGAAAGCTGAAGGGTTTTAGCCCAAATATCAAATAGAAGCACATCTTTGCTCAAACCCACCACATCAAAGAGTGTGTGCATGCATGTGTGTAACAGAGAGAAGGAATGGCTTGTCATTTCATTCACCATACACGATTAATTATAAATCTGCTTAATATTTCACACTGCTAATTAAGTTTTTACCATCTGCTTAGCATAAACGTTCCTGCTTCAAGAACGTATTCTTTGTAACTAAAGAACAACAGAGTAAAAGAATCGTATGAGTGAGTCTTGATTATGTAGTGTGTGTGTCAATCTCTCCAAGTGTGTGAACAGATGCCCACCTATGATCTGGATGATCTGTGCCAGCAAGACTCCATCGGTGACGTCCTGGCTCAGGTCTTTGATAAGACGTGGACAGCCGGACTTGGCCAGGTAGTGGTTGGCCCAGTCTGTGTAAATCTGCAACAACAAAACAAACACCCTGTCAAGCGTGTGTGAGAGGAACAGACACGGTCGGGAGGAACTGTGGTACAGGTCTATTTTCTTTATTTGACATTGATAGAGAGCACAAGTATCTCCTGTATGATCTGCAGAGTGAGCACTAGTAAAGGTGGAATACGTTTTTAAAGTTGTATGTGAGTTTGGAGTTTGAAAATGAAAAAATATCCGGGAGTTGAGCTCCAAAGAGATACATATAGAGGAGGGCTGAGAAAAACAAAAAGAGGTTTCCATCTCATTAACTCCTAACTGCCATCTTATAAGGAGCCCTTCGAACAAAACAAAAAAACTCATTAATATTAAACCATGAACAATATATATTTTGAGCCAATCTCTCATTTAATAGATTAAACCTTCATCAGGGGATCTCCATTTACAATCAGATTCACTTTTCAAACTTTATCTTTTAACCCCAGAAGTGCTCCGTGTTAGATAATATTTTGTTTTGTTACTGTGAGCTCTTAAGAGCTACTTTGTCCGTCATTAGAGTCAGTGAGATGGCTGATAAGCAGTGCTGTGTCTGTAGGGGGACCACAGCTGTTGTGGTTTAACCAGGCTCCACAGATGAAAGATATCATTCACATTTGGCCTCTTAGTGATCAACCCCCCCCCAAAAAGTCAGCCATAGACAAAATCAAACCATCGGTCACAAGATGTCTTATTTACCTACAAGTTTGATGCCAATATGAATACAATACAGATCTAAACTTCACCAGATGCAGATCTCAAATGATTGAATCCCTAAAATAATCTCCTCAGGTCCAAAGAGGAACACATCTCCATGTGACTCATGTGTTATACCTATATGGGAACATTACTTATCATAGTTTAAAGTAGTAGCTTGATTATTTTAGCCATTTGGTAAGGTTCGTATACCTACATAGTTTTTGAGAACACCATTCCTTATTTAAAACAGGCGCTTTCAAAGTTTGAGTTTCCATCAGCCTCCTCTTCTTCTCTGCGTCTCAGAATGTGCACACATCCAGAGGAATTCCCCTATAAAACCTCACCACTTCTCACGATGAAATAATCTTTTTTCCCTCTTGTAAACGTTGCATGCTGCCCGAAATTAAAAGCGTTTCTTTGCCGTTTTTTCCTGTTTGTTAAAAGTGGAAATTCAACCGCTTTCACGTAACCGCCTCCCAGAAGTTAAAAACTGATGTGGTTTCCTTCAGCCAATTTCCCCCTGATGAGAGGTTGTAAAGCGTAACCCTGATAAGCGAAAGCTTTCACGAGGAAAAACATTCAAATCCACAAACAGGGAAACAGACATCTGCAAAGACCTGCATGCATTAAGAGACACGGCAACACTCACAAATGACCAAACATAGGTAGACACAGGATCCTCTGGAAATGAAACCTTATTTACTTGTCAGGTGATTGCTTGTATGTAGAAATGTTTGTTTCGCTCCTGCTACGCACTGCAGTCACAACAGATTTGAAAGAAAGTAGCCAAATGTTAAGCGTAAGCTGCTGTGCTGTGAGGTGCATGACATGAAACCAAATCTCAAATTGGAGACTCAGGAAGGTGAGTGGAAGGGCACAAGGTTTGATCTCAGAAAGATGCACCGTCCCTCACCTCTCTCTTTCTCATTTTACCCGGTTCACCAGGAAGAAGATTATTATCACTGCAGAGAAACAGAAGCAAGGAAACTTTCTCTTCAATAGAAGGTCGATCTGAACCAGCTTATTCAATTAAACCACTGGTGATGCCCTTTTTCCACCTGTGGTGTATTGCGGTATTGTAAGAGCAGAAGACAACAAGCTGAAAGAAACTGCAACAAACAGGGGACCAAATCAATCTAAAACCTTTGTAGAAAGCAAGATGGGAATTACATGTCTGTGCGCTTTTACAATAGCAACACAGTCTTGGGTACGATGTGTAACTTTATAGTTTAAATAAAATGTTTGTTTTTTTTTTTTTCTACATCAACTTTTCCACCTCAGTGCAAACTTTTCCATAAGCAAATTAGAATATTCACTGTACAGGTGGATAAAAACTCACGAGGTAAAGAACGGAGGAAGGGAGCACATGAGAATACTTGAGATTTGTGATGCCCAACCGAAAAATTTAATTAGGTAGGACTTTCGGCTAAAGAAGCCAGCTGCTTCTACATCTGCTGCAGCTCCTGGAGTGCTTTTAATTCAGTTTAGTCACATTTTCAGCGCTAAGTCAAAACCGTCCAGCCTGGAGGTCAAACAGTATCTATATTTGAGCAAAACTTTGTCTTAAGATGCATGTAGCAGTGGATTATCTCCTCAATTAAGCTTCAAACAGGCTGATCAGAACAAGCCAAAAAGGATTAGACATGTTTTTCTCTGAATGGGACTGCCTCTATCATTTTGGAACGAGCAAAGGATCAAACAGGTCAAATCTGAATATATTCCACCGATGCGCACATCATATAAACCAACCTAAAAGAAAAATATGCAGGTTTGTCTGCCTCTGTGTGTGCTTGTCCCATACAAGCACACAGGGAATGCTCTCAACCTCTGAAACGCTGACAGGAACAGCTTTCAGCTAAACCCCTCGAAAAACACAGAACATTAACTTAGATGAAGAAGCTCAGACACAGCAAATATGAGAAAAGACGGGGAAAATAATAAAAAATCCAATCAATCTTAACTTAACTCAATCTTAAACATGCAGAACTCCAGGCTTTAACCCTCACCTCACAAGTCCACAACCATCCAACAACCAAATCAAAGCAGCACTTCTAACAGTCGCCTTCCACCTCTGCAGGAGCTCTGACTGGCTCATCCGCTCACTTCATGACTCCTGTGCGGCGCTCAGAGTTGTGTCTGTCAGCCTCCCGCACTCATTAACCTATCCTGTCGGTTCCCCGGCTGCTCTGGGAAGCAGAGGCTGGTGCTGCGACTCCGGCTGAACGCCGGCAATAACAGCACCTTAACTGATGCTGACTGGGACTGCTGATATCACACACGCACAACAAGAGAGACGGCACACAGGCAGACACATGCAGTCTACAAAGATCACACTCGAGCTAGTCATGCACAAGTAAACAGACGCTGATTCCCCCTCCCCTTTCCCACTCTCTTCCCTCTTCCTTCCTTTCGGCAGCCAGCATCAATCAGCAGAAGTCCGCTCTGTTTGCAGACGTTATCCTTGATGCAACATTAATATCTCCCTCCTGTTGGCCTCTACCTGCTCTGAGGACCTGTCCCCTCAGCTCCAGGAATCCCAGATGCTGATAAAAAAAAAAAGCCAGCTCTTGCCCCAGAGCAGGAAAAATTGCCTTCTACAGTCCTGATCACAATGCAGTGACTACGGCTACGCAGGTATTATGGGCACGAAGCTGCAATAGCAGGGCTCGGCCTCTGGAGGGAGCCAGGTAAAAGGACAACCGGGAGATGGTGTAGTTAGAGCAGGTGAGGACATCAAGCAGAGAGGACTTCAAACTGCTCAGGACTCAGTGTATTTACCCAGCTGTATCTATTAACGCACTCCAGCAGAACGACGGCTAAAGCACGGGCTCTTTAATCAGGGCACCATTCCAGTGCAGTCGGATGAATTAAGAGCTTAAATGCATTTAAGGAGCGCCAGCATAAATACAATCGCTCGGAGAAGCTGTGTCATGCCGTTCAAAAGAGGTTAGCCAGGAGAGACGTGTCTTTTGTGGCTGCGCTGGCTCGCAAACCTCAACTTGGCAAAAGTGCTGCTCCCGCATGGGTACTAAATGTAATTAAACACAACATGCAGCCGCATTAACTAAATGAGCGACAAGCCAGTGGAATCAATTGGACTGCCATGTGATAGAGCTTCCTCTGTGATTCTCTGCCTTATTTTGGTCTTTGCCTGCTTCACGGTCAATACAGTTTATGGAGGGGAGTGGAGAAACAGACATCCACTGAGGCTAACTATAGATAAACGCTCTCCTGGCTCTCCTGTTCGGCTGGCAAGCGATCTCAGGCAAGAATCAAATAGGGAAAGCGACTATTTCTGTTTCTGTGTGAAACAATTATTACTGAGCTACACTTTACAGACAGGAAATAGTTCACCCCCTTTTGCACATGAGAGTAGAACATACTTATTAATTTAGATTGACAGAAGTTATGAAGATAAGGGTGTTTATATTACAAATACCAATAATAAGAGGGAGACAATTCATATCTGACTGCTGAACGTTGAGTGAGGTGGACTTTTAAAGGCAGCCACACTTTCACCAGCGTTTTCAGAAGGTTGGAAAAGCTTTCCAAAGTACAGCAGAATGATGATGTTCTTAATCCTGATGTCTGCTTTCTTCTTTGTCTACTTCTTCTCAGAAGTCCAAGTAGAAGAGCCCCATCAACTGTGATAAAATCTAATTGGATGAAACATAATAGACATGTGTGAGGTTACTGAAGCACATGGAACCATTTCCGACTTTAAAAACTGTAGCTTGTCCCTGATAAGTAAAGCATCTCAGTTTCCTCTAAAACCTTACACTGGGATCCAAGAGCTACTTTTGTCTTAAACCCATCAAATCTGGGGATAACAGTAACAGGCAGCTTTCCAACATGGCGTTACTTGAATCCAGCAAAAACTCAACTTGGGTATTTATTTCTGCAGTATATAAAACATGGACTCAAAGATTCCCTGTTTCCTGATCCAACTGATGAATAAAATAAATAAAAAACATATTTTGATAAATAAAAGAATGAATCTTTATTCATGCGACAACATTCTTCGCCACAGTTCTACGGCAGAAATGGACAAAAAGCTGCAGACCACGTATTGATGGTTCTTTGCTGCTGAGCCAATCCCAGTCAGGCCAGTTTGACGAGGGGATTCAGGGCTGGAATGATGGTTTTTGCATTTACTTGACAGTTTTACATAAGGTCTTAAAAACACTAATCAGATGAGAGCAAAGACAAAATAACTCAAAGCAACGGTGAGTGTAAATGACTAGAAGGTGCGCATCACCACCGTGTGACTTAACCTTCTCTAAGGAAAATGGATT